ATCTCCCGCAGCTTTGGGATTGGTGGTCTTGAAGAGCCAGACTGGTGGTTGGAGAATTCTTAGAAAAGAAAAAGTGAAGGTGGGTATCTTGAAGAATTCGTTTTCCAGAATCTTTATGTTTCTTTCAGGCCATGGTCGCTTGTTATCCTGGAAATGGAACTGGGTACGTTCGTCATGTGGACAATCCGAATGGTGACGGGCGCTGCATCACCTGTATTTATTACCTGAATAAGAACTGGGACTCCAAGGTGAGTGAGTCATGGGGCCAAGGCAGAACATAAAGGAACAAACAACGTGAGCAGAGTTTTGGAGCTGTCAGTTGCTTCTGTGAACTTAGGTGAACTTCTGAACAGCTGGTCCCTTCTTCATCACTTAACTTTTGTTTTCTTGCTGTTTATAGCAACCCTTTGGAAGTAAGGATCTGAACTGTTTCTTTATCTTTCTGTCTCCTATCCCACACACATACTGTTTTGTTGTTATAGGATAAAGTTTCTCAGCACGAGGCTGCTGGCACTTACATTTTGTTTAGAGAAAGGGTAATGGAGCACTTGGAAGAAAAACATTTTCCAATAAGGAGTAAGTGGATTCTGGGAGCAGAATACATGGCAACCCTGATTTGGGACCTTATCATTCTTGAAACTGGTCCTTCAGTCTGATCTGTGGAAGATCTTTAGGCAGTTTTATCTGTGGTTTCCTTCCTCCTTACGGTGTGTGAGAAGCCTTGGAAAGATCTGTTCATGCTTATTTTTTCACTAGAGATGATTTTTTGTTAGAACAATTAGAATTGGGGAGCGGATCCTTTCACTTTTTTGGGGAGTGTTCTTGGCAACACTTTTTTTATTGTGAAATATTGGTTTGTAAGACTGTGTTGAACTAGCTTTGAATCGACGCCAGAAGTACTGAAGGACATGTCGTAATGAACGTAATAGCATGAAAACAGGCTTTTCTCAGCAGCCTTGTCAGCTGCTTCCTGATAATTTACAGGTTGGAGTTGGGAAGAGTTTTTGCAGAAGCTATCCAGGGCTTTCACAGAGTTTAGAGACCTTTCCCTATGTTTCCCTCAAATCTGTGACCTCTTTTCATGAGAGGAAGGGTTCTCTGCGTGCCTCACGAGAGAAATGAGCAGGTGGCTTATTTTGGGTTCTCCTTCTCTGACTCCACTACTGGATCACCTGGCAGAAGAGTGCTCTTGTTTATCTTACTACTGGACACTAAAATCAGCCTTGAATTTACCATATCTTTAAATTAGAAAAAAAAAAATGCTTGTACAAATTTGTAAAATTGAAGAATGTCTCTTTTGACTTCTGCTGTCATAGTATTTCCCAAAACATTCACAGGATTATTAGTTGCATATTGCCCAATGTTACTGTCTCTCTAACCTGTCTTGTTACTGTCTCTCTAACCTGTCTTGGCCATCTGGGGTTGATGTTCCATAGACAAACAGAAGTATTATGAACCCAAAGAAACAAACTCAGATTTGGAAAGTATTGAAAAATGTGATGTTGGGGAAAACCATGTTTCTTCACTGGAAGTATGATGGGGAAATGTCTTGTTCTAATAAAATAAAGAAGGGGAAAGGACATAAAAATGAGAGAGAAAATGAAATGTGCAATTTGTTTTGTGCACTGGTCCTTACTCTGATAGTGAGGAATTAACCAAATAGGTTCTGAAAAGGATAACTGGAAACCAGACACTGGTGGAGAGTATGACACAAGTATGATGCTGGAGGAGACACCTTATAACCATGCTGGCATGTTGAAACAACCGTGTTGCTTTAAATCTAAGCTATTACTTTCTGAGGCTAGTGTATGGTGTGGAGATGCCAAGTCAGAATAGTGCTGGGTTGACAGTCTGTGCGCAGCCCAAGTCTCCAAAGAGCCTGCTGACAGCAACAAGGGGGAGGCATGGTTCACATGGATATTGGAAGTTTCTCCAGGATGTGTGGATAACCACAGTTCCCCTTCCCACACCCAAAAGTGATGGCAAACACAGGGAGAGAAATTATGTGGTGTAGGAATCAGGTTGTGTCATAAGAAGGGGGAAAAATGAATGGGGGATTAAATTTAATCATAAACTTATTAAACTACAACAATAGAATGGACTTCACTCTTCTTTCCAGCATTTAAAAGATAACTTCTGCAAGATCAGATACAAGTTCTTGCATGTGTTGGGAAGAGAATCTGATCTCAAAACAGTCAGCTGCAGCATCCCTACCTCTCTGTGGGTATTGCGTAGTCTAGAGGAGTGTGATGGGGAGCTGAGAAGTTGCCCAGTATTTATGACAGAGACAGAGTTTTCTTCGTCTTGGATTATTTGCTTTAGCCAGATGTTCATGTTCAAACATGACAAATGGGGAAAATGAAGGTGGCCAAGAGATTCAGTATACAGTTCTCTGGCACTGTCTTGTAGCTTCCTTGGTTATCACTAACCATGTTTGCTTGGTACTGGCTAGGGAAAAGCAAGTCATTATTCAAATGAATACTTAGGTGGGTGTTTATATGTGGACAAAGTAACCTTTCCTTGTCTTTCAGCTGCATGGTGGAATTCTTCGGATATTCCCAGAAGGCAAGTCCTACGTAGCAGACGTTGAGCCAATTTTTGACAGATTACTCTTTTTTTGGTCAGACCGAAGGAATCCACACGAAGTCCAGCCTTCTTATGCAACCAGGTAAGTGGCATATTTATAGCCATGGAAAAGCAGTGTGGTCTACTATTATCACATGATTAATCACCATATGTGGTTATTTAATAAAGTACTTGCTTTTATATATGTAGGTATAAAAAGAAAAGGTATTTGTGAATGGATTTTTTTAAGGTATCTTTTGAGTCACTGGAAATTTCCTCATCAAATGAGGAAGAACAAATTTAAACAGTAAGACTTCTTATGTGGCAGAAAAAAAATGCCCCTTTGCCAGGGACAGGAGAAACTTCTTAGACTAGGCAGGGCTATTTAGCTGGAAAATGCTGTGTTACACCTTTACTCTGTTTCATCAGAGGGATTTTTGGGGCAACCATCTATCAGCAGCTGGTATTACCTAGAGCAGCCCCCAGGCTGCCTAAGGACATTCCTGAACAGAATAAAGCTCCAGTGACTGCAAGCCACTTTTGGCTTCTGTCACCAAGGGGGTATGCACTCTGCTGTGCCTCCAAGCAGAAATTCTCACCTATGTTTCTACTGTACTTAATAAAGTACACATTTAAAACAGTGTCTGCATTTCCCTGCAGAGAGGTGCCATTTGCATCCTATATTTTTTGTCCACTAAACCAATTAGGTCTGTATTTGCCTTCTCCATGAGAATAAAATTCTAGTTAGTACTCTATTTGAATAGCAAAAGTTGAAAATAATACATAATTTCCATCTTTTACAGATATGCCATGACTGTGTGGTATTTTGATGCTGAAGAAAGAGCTGAAGCCAAAAAAAAGTTCAGGAACTTGACTGGTACGACACTTCTATAAATGTTCACAGAGTAGAAGTGAATGCATTTTGATATTTCTAAAGCCAGAGGGAGAATGCGAGTAAATCTGTAGTTAGGTGGTGAACACATTCATTTTATTTAGAACTTATTTTTCTCTAATCACTCAAGTTATTTTATACAAAGCAGAAAAATTTTGTCAAATGAAAGTGCAGGCCTGGCCTCAGGCTGGCAGTCTTTGTCCCCGAGTGTAGTTTGTGTGCTGCAGCAGCTGCAGAGGACTCTGCTACCTCTCCAAGCTCTTCTTTTGTTATTTGGGAGGCATGTTTGTCTCTTCCAAACTGTGCTTAGCACATAGTCATGAGGCTTACATAAACAATTTCATAATTACATTCTTCAAATGTTCTGGCCATATAGGGCCATTTTACATTAATTGAAGGCAGTCATGGCCCACACTAATGCAAAAGGGATTTGTCTTTTATTTACAAGCAATTTCTAAGTGGGTATATTCATAATGGCTTTGGAATGTGTAGATCATGAGTTAGAAAGAAACATACATTTAAAATTATATGTATAAATCATCTTTTGGCAGGTAGTTGCTAGAGCTGCTGTGACCTTGGTGCCCTTCAAGAGCTACCTGCCTGCAGCTAGGTTCCGTAGGCAGCCTGGGGTCAGCCCAGAGACACTTCTGCAGAAGTCCAGGAGTAGCTGATCCCTGCTTATCTAATTCCAGCCAAACTTCCTGGTGCTGTAGAAATGACATACTAGTGATGGGCTGAGTATCCAGATGTGCTCTAAAGCCCTACCTGCGGCCATGCAGTGTCACAAATTTGCTCTTTGGACAAGTTAAAGATTTGGTCTGGAGGGACTGCCTCAGGCAATTCCTTATAATCCCATGTAGACAGCATTCCTCTTTTTTAAATATGTATGTTGCACAGCTGGAAACAGGCAAAGTTAAGATTAGTCCAATTAGTCCTTTTTTTCAGAAAGGAATTTTGTAATTTCTGTGCCTGCTAGGTGGAAAACCAAATTAGCTTTGCCCTTGAAGGGGATTATGAGCAAGGAGCTAGAAGTGGGGAGGAGGAGGAGGAAACTATCACGGACCTGGAATCTGTAAGAGTTTATTGGATTACTTAAATGTTGCGTGAATTGCATCTTTCCCCTGCAGAAACTGAAGATCAAAACTGTAGTTATGTCTGTCTTGTTAACTCTTGTAGTTGTGAACTCTTGTAGAATTTCAGTTTGCGTAGTGAATTAAATCATAAGTTTTGAAGTGCTATCCGCAGAAAACAAAACATTGTTTTTTAGTCTGTTCCTAAGTTTTCAGATGAACACTAAACACTATCAAATCAGGCTTTCATAACATTCTGGCTTACCTGTTTGTTTTCTCCTTCCCCCTCCCCATCTTTTCAATATAGATGCACGGAAGAGAGAAGCAGCTCTTAATGAAGACTAATCAACTGTTTCTGAACTCTTTATGCACAATAAGATCCCAAAGATGACTTCCATTTCCAGTGAACCGTGGCACATTCTTGTCAAGCACAAGAGTACACCGGTTGTATGTGTCTAGCATGTGCATCTTTCCTTGATGGTACTTAAGGCAGCCTCCTGTCATGTCTGCATATGGCAGAAGGAACCCTTGTTTTCTCTTTGCCTTTTGCTGGAAAAAAAACACCCAGGCCTTTAACTTAAAAAAAAAAAAAAAAAAGAGAGAGAGAGAGACAGAAAGGAGAGAAAAAAAAAAAAGAGTATCTCTAAGCCTAGTGGTAGTGGCTCAGCCAACTGGCTTTTTAATCACTCTAGTCTAGTAACCAAGACAACAATCATTGGAACTAGTTGGGAAAAATATGAGTCTTATTTGCACTTTATGGGGGGGGGGAAGTGGAATCTAGTTCAGTGGGAAGGAGCTTTACAAGTTTAAAATCTGTGGCAGACTGCTGGTGGGCAAGGAGAGATATTGGAAAAACTGGGTCTTTGTAGAGAGTATTCTTCTGTTATGCTCCCCATGGACCCAGTGACAGACTGCTCATCACTTTGCTGCACATAACATTGGCCTCACTCTCCTACAGGATGACTTTCCAAACAGAGTTGTGTCTATATAGTCATCACATCTAATGGATTTTGTTCACTCTTCGAGTCAAGTCATAGCTGTGCAGGTGCACTGCCCTTTCAGTTCCAAGACGGAGGGGGAAGTAGTTACGCATTTGTTCAGTTTTGTAAAAACATTTCTTTTCTGCTGTGAGCTAGATTGATTGTATGTTTTCTATTTTCAGTTTGTTTGGTAAAACAGCTGGTTTCTCCCAAAAGTTTGGTAAACTTGGAAGAATGATGGCACACAATACATTGGTCCTGAAGGTTGATTGTATGTGGAATTAAATGATATTTTAGTAGTTTCTCTATCTATCTACTCTATTTTGTATAACAAATGTGAACCTGAGAGGAAGAAATACCTCTGGCAGCCTGACAAATGAATGCTAAACAATGATTGACTTAGACTTGATTTCTGTGCTGCTTATCCTAAGTTTACATTCTGTGACTTTATTTGCATGTGTCTAATTTGGATGAAACAGAGATTCTGTTTCGATTGGTCTGTTACACAAGGTAACTACTTTTGTGTTTGAGCAATGAGATAGACCAAGGATTAGGGTTATTCACATGACAGTTTTTTTTGTGACACAACTGAGAGTTATTCAAATAATACACATTTTTCTTTATTTTTAATTTATTAGACATGTTGAGTAACCTGTGAGTTATCTCCAATCTGCCTGAGCTTCTCCAGCCAGCACTTACTACACAGTTCAGAATAGCTCTTAATGAAGCTGAGAGCTAGCAGTGGATATGTTTGTCACTCACACTAACGATTCTCAACCGCATCCTCTTAGTGTAGGCACTTGCCAGGGTATTTGGCTGACAACCTCATGCTGTCAGTGTATGCTGGACCTCACCACCCATTTCAGACCTACCCTCTCTAGTGACCTATATTTTTTGTTTCACCTGCCCATGCTGGCCAAGTTGTATGGTCTGCTGGAGCTACTCATCCCTGAAGCCGTTCGTGACACAGTGTGGGACTGTCGTGCTAGTAATGGACCTGAGGGCAACTTCTGTTGCATTTGAGCCAGGGCAATGAAAAGGTAATGATGTGCAATGGCAAACTGTTGACTTCAGCAGCAGAAGGTGACAGAAAAGAAATAACTTCCTTGACATAAAATATGGTGATAGAGAGGGGCTTAAGCTTGTCCTCCAAAGTAAGAGGGGCATTTTTTGAATTCTGAATGTAAATACAGCAGTACTCTGACTTCTCCTAGAGTTCCAGCAATGATCATTTGGATAAGACGTTAGCCTGACCACTGCGCACCTTAAGAGAGGAACACGAGGGAATATGTATGACAGATTTATTCTTATGACTCAAGACTGGAAGACCAATAATCTGGTAATTGTCCTTTCATGTTGGAAAGAAAAATCATTATTCTACTATGGGTATAGCTAAATAGCTCAAGCATAAACTTGAAGGAAACATAATAGTAACTTGAAATTCTCATTCTTCAATGTTTGTGTGGAAGGAGAAAGTAATTTACTCAAGAGCAAGCAGTAACCCAGGAAAGGTGGTAGGTTTTGAGTTGTCTATGAAGGGCAGTTGCAGCCTTGTTATTTAAAAGGGGAAGAAAGAATCCCGACCTGTTTTATTGCTATGCAAAGTTGATAATGACATGTATGTTTTAAAAACTCCTATAAGGTTTTAAAAGGGTCAAAGACAGTTAAAGCAACCCAAATTTTGCTTTGTCTTTGGTAACTGTAAACCTAACGGTGCACTAGAAAGATAGGTTAGCATAAATCTTACTGAGGCCTCAAGCAATGGACAAATGATGGAGCAGGAGGGGAAAGGGCTTATATAAAGTTTGGAAAAGAAAGGTACTTTGGTTGCCACTATTGCTGCCATCTAGCATTAGAAATGGTCAGCCACACATTTGGTGGATGGAGTATGGAACAGTATAGATTTTCTGTAAATAAATTATATGTATATATATTTTCATTTTTAGGCTATATTTTCCTGATCTAGATATAGAACTGAGTGGGTTGTTTTTTTTTTTTTTTTTTTGGAGGAGGGAAATATTTGGACTTGTAGAAATCCACAACTTTGACCTTTTCTACATAGATTTTGCTTACTTGTCTTTGAAAATTTGGGAACCACTCTGAATGACTAAAAGTATCTATATCTTAAGTGTGTGGACAGCGTGCTGCTGGTCAAGGGGCATTTCCAGGAGCTTCCTTCCAGCTTTGGGTTTTGTGTCTTCATAGTGAGCATTTGAAACACCTATGGCTAAACAGCGTTTGTCAACGAGTTGTGCAAGACTTCTAAATGTGCCTTCATTCATACCTATGAAGCTGTTATATGCCAAATGTGCATGTCATGCAGGTTTTCATGGCTCCTTGTGAAATAGATTGCCTTTCCAAATGCAGTTGCATGTCAAACTAGGGAGATATGCAGAGTCACCAAGCTGCAATTTCTAATATGCTGCATTTGTTGTGGGGGGGGAGGAAAAGAAAGGCAGTACTGAAAATTAGGACCTTTCTGGCCTTTTGAGCAAAGTAGCTTTTAATAAAACTTATTTTCTAGAGCTTACTTTTGGTTCTGTGAGGAATGGCCTCTGCAAAGTAGTATCTGAGGTTATCATCATCATCATCTGATCTGTTTTCTTTTCCTTAGATATCTAAACTGTTTTAGTCCATTCATTCCTGTTGAGTTATTAAAATGTTGGAAAACAGTATACATTGTTGTTGTTGTTGTTGCAAAATAGCTGGCTCTAACACCACTTGCATCTAGAAGAAAATGTACCTATTTGCAGGCAAATAACTAGTTTTATTTTGACTGTGATGTACTCCTAGCAGATATCTGAGAGCGAGTTATGACTACAGCTTCTCTTGTCAGGTTGTATGCTGGTCAACAATGCTGGCACTTTGCTTTGGATTCATGGAAACATGTAATAGTGTTTTACCATCACATTTGTGTTGTTGTTAATAAAAAAGGAAAAAAAAAAGAGGAAAAAACAATGTCACAGGAGTCAATAAACACTGGGTCGTGCTACGCGCGGTGCTGTGCTCGTGGTTTGTCCCGTCGCGCCGTGGCTGAGGGAGCGCGCGGGGCCCCTCCGGGGAGGGCCGGCGTTCCCATCAGCTTGGCACTTTTCCTTGGTCACTTCCTGCTGTTTTGACGTTATTCACCTTGCTCGCTCCCCTCTTCTTCAAACGCCTGTTTGTTTTCACGCTCCTGTGGGGCCAGATAACATTCTCAGCCTGCGATTGTCATCTGATAAGTTTTATTTTTAACCAAGTTCATATCCTCCCTGGGTACTTTGCCACAGCGAGTCCCACAGTCTTCCCCAGCAGCAGGGGGACAGCTTCTCCCCTTTTCCAGGCCAGGGGAACTGAATGAAAGCCAAGACATTATCCCTCCTCAGTTAAAGACCTGTGAGCTCTTTTCATTCTTCTGCGGTGCTGTGAATAGTGGGAATGACCTGTCTCCACCCCCTCTTTAAAACAGGCTTTCTATTGTGCAGGCCTTGGATTGGATGTTTTTATATATATTTTATACTTTTATACATATAGCTTAGTTGAGGAGGGGAAATCTAGGTAATGCCACTTTCTTTAAGCATTTAATTTACATGGAGGAATTTTCAGCACATGGAGGGAAAGATCTATACATAGTAAGAGGGTCACTCTTCTGAGTTTGTTCCCTATTGAGTAAAAGCCTGTGGAGGTGGCTCTAAATGAAGCTGGCCGTTGGCTTTCCAGCTGCCAAAAACTTAGTTGTCTTTCCTCTGAACTTTGACTAAGCTTTCTCCAAAGAAATATGCCTATAGTAATTTGTTATCGTACAGCTATTTAGGGGTTTCTTCCCTCCCCCACCTACCCCAAGGAATATGGCTAAATATACTTGCACTGAGAATTCCCATGACTCCTGAGGATGCAGCTAATATTGGAGGTTGAAGTGAAAGTTAAAGAGCAGTGTGACAGTGGGAGAAAGCTTAGGAAAAAGGATTTCCTTCCCCACATAATTTCAGCTGTCTGTAATATTCCCATATGAGCAACCTTGAGAAACTCCCATTCTCTTTCACGAAATGTAGTTGGATTTTTTATTATTATTATTATTTGCCTTGTGGAAAGGGAGGATAGTTTCAGCTATTTGCTTGTGTATTTGCTTTTAACAGGGCTGGAGACCATGCACAAACGCTACACTAGGGCAAGCACCGTATCCAAAGCAATTCTCAGGTGCTGTCAGACGTACTCAGTGCCGGCACTCAGGTTTCTTCTGTGCTGGGCACCACTGCAGTGGTAAATACCCCCGTGATGAGCCAGAGCAGAGGCGATTCGTGGTCCCTGCTCAAACTTGCATCCTGCAGCCTTTATTTGCAAGGGAGTGAGGGGAGAATCAGCTGCCTTGTCCCACTTCTTTTACCTCACTGAGGAGCACCAGAGATGGTTGCACATGGAGGGCAAGGCCCTGTTGAGAGGATTAGTCCAACACTCAAGCATCCCTTGTGACTGCATGCAAGATATTCTCAAGTTCTTTAATTCTGCAAGTTTCTCAGCTCACAACTGCTGGGCTGCTTGTGCTGAAACACCTCCGGAGCAGCGAAATCAGAACAGCTTGAAAATAAAGCACTAAAGGGAAAAAAAGATTTATGAAGGGTAGAGCCAATGTATGAAACAGGAG